GCAAAATTTACTAGTGTATCGTTGCATACAACGAAAAAAGATTCTACGCCTATAGAAGTACTTTTTTTTTTTTATCTAAAAGCAGTATCGCCGTGTCCCTTCAACCAATCCTCCCTATTCTCTGCTAGTCTCTTCATTTCTATATATTTCTATAGCTCCATAGCGATAATAAGGGTAATAGAAGCACTCAGTTTTTTAAAACAATGCATGGTGCTTTTACAGCTTTACCTAAGAAACTCAATGTTTCAAAAACGATTGACTGAATTGGCTACGATTGCGACAGAAAACGAAACAACAAATACATTGAATTTTAAAGACGGCATAGAGTTGTTTGGGTCCAAAAAATCAAGGAAAAAATTTTAAATATTAATTTTGTTTTTGTATTGTTTAAATTTCTAATGTTTAAATGTATTAATTTATATTAAATTTAATAGATAAAATTACAGAACCTTTGTACCTTTGTATACCTTAGTATACTTGTATGTTTGTAAATTGTAAGTCGACAAGTGTAATACGTTCTAAAGTATAATCATCCAAAAGTTAAAAAATTAATATTTACTAATGTATTTTTATTTCAATAATAAATTACAATAAGAATCATAGGTGTAACTAGGGTTAACATTTTGGGAGGTCTTAAGCCTTTTAATATAAAATTATTTTATTTGGGACCCACATTTTTGATGATTTTTCGCCTTTAATTACACTTATGTCCTATGCGCTATATAGGTGACTATGGTTATTGGTTAAATAAGTTTTGCCCAGGTCCTCGCAAAAAGTAGCGCCGGCCCTGATAATCAATGATATTACGTATGCATGTACAATGTTCATTGGTTTTATAATACAGTATATTATTATTTACTACAAAATCAATGCCCAATGGTACCTAAGTGTTTTTAACTTTCGTATATTTATCAATAAATTATAAGTCAGTATAATATGTTCGTTTTGTCCAGTACCAAAATTATTACAAATACACAATGCACATCAATTTTTTTTTTTGGAAGTCGACAAAATGCATTCCAAACCTCCCTAAAAATAAACCATTGAATTACCCAGCCAGCCAAGCAGTGGAGTAGCCAGGGGGTCGCTAAGGGGGCTATAGCCCCCACCCCCATTGACCGTGGATAACCTTAGAACTTTATCAAGATTAATAAAAAAATAAAAAGTGTAAATAAAAGACATACCTACTGTATTTGTATACTTAGCCCCCCCCCATACAAAATTCCTGGCTACGCCACTGACTGTAGACCCGATTTTTATAATCTATTATTTATTAAGGGCTGAGCCTAAAGCTCTAATATATGTCCGATTTGTATAATTAGTGTAGGTACATACAATATAACAAATTTACGTTCAGCAAAACTAATTTCGTGTTGTTAACTTTAATATTTTATGCCTACTTTTGCATACAACTACATAATATGGTTGAGATCATTATTCAATTACATTAATATCTAATTGTAATTTACAATAACATCACACTATATTATGGTATAATAAATCTCAGATATCTTGTTATGTGATTAATGCATACGATTTTGAACAAAATATTAATTTATATAGATACTAAAAAATTGTATTGGACTATTGAAAATATTGTTATTTACAAAGGTTACTATTAAGATTCAAATTCAAATACACGTTATAACTTATAAGATTTGGTACACACATTTTTAATTCATGGACACACTGAGGAGAATGATGATAATGACATAAGACATTGATGACTGCGGAACGGATCCATCGAATACGAAACATTTGCAATAACCTTAATAAATAATCATATTATATACACAAATATTTCAAAAAACAACATAGACGCAAATAGGGATTGTACCCCCTAGAATTTCTTTAGCCCCCCTCCCCCCCGATCTTTATCCTAAATTTGTCTGAAATTTTCACCCCATTTAGGGAATAACTAAAAAAAAAAATGCTTTTTGAAACTGAATAAACAGTGCAAATTGACCTATATTAAAAAATGTTGATAGGAAATTGCCTTTAGAAATGGAATGTGATGTAGCCATTGAAGGTATCTGAAAAAATGATATGTTTATTGTATATTACAGATCAAGAGTCCCATTTACTTTGCTTCAAGATTTTTGAATGAGACAGAGTTTGCTTATGCCTAGGTAGTAAAATAAATGTTGGCAATATCTTTGCCTGTAAAAAATTGCATTCTTTAATTTATGGTTAACAAATCAAGATATACACTGACCAATAATTACAATAATGTAAAAAGATACTCATAAAATACCTAATAATTGTTTAAAAATACTTCTAATAAACAAGATAGAGTTACATTACATATTTACCGGGTCGTTTTATGTACCTACCTATGTTACTGACCTTAACAGCAACAATTTTGTAATGATAAGTACCTATTACTGGTCCTAAATTCTAGCAGATATAATTCATATTGTCTATGAGATGAGTATAGATTTAAATAATTTAAAGGAACAAGAGTTTATACAGAAAACACAAGGTGATGAAACACTTGGAAAGTACTTGGTTAAGTACTACTTATAGTATTGAGTAGTTGAGATTTGTAAAAAAAGTTTGCTTAAGATAATTAAGGAGGATGTTGAACTTAAGCATTACTAGAAATTGAGAAAATAAAAACAATAAATAATAGAGGATTATAATATTACTAAACTAGATTTTTAATTTCGAAAATATTAATAAATTGCATAATTATCATCAAATTACATGAAACTCACTTTGGGATCACTAAAACGAAGGCAAAAGCTAAGACGTTATTAATTATTCTAGTATAAATGCACAAATAGAAAATTATATACAATTTTTCTGGGCTTGAAATTAAGCAGTTCAAAAATTAGAGAACCAACGTTATCTCATAAGATCACAGACATTCCGTTTTATAAAACTGCAATTGATTTAGGTAGCAGAATTTGGGAGGAAAAGCTATATTTAGTCGTTGTACTGCAATAATTGAAATATTAAATTTATATACTAAAACCAGAGAGGCGGTAATAGAGGGCCTTAAGGAATTGTTCAGTAGGTTAGGTAGGTGTTTCTAATAAACCATTAACTGACAATATACTATATAGAATTTAATAGTTTCAAATTCATAAAATTTTTAAATAGGCAAAAATTTCAAGTAATAATGTCATGTCCATATCATGTGCAAAGTAATGGAATTGCAAAAAACATGTTGGAAAAAAGTAAATAGACTGGTATAGATGCATTCTATCTGTATATGAATAACATAACAAATTGTACGCTCAACACATCACGTTTAGCTCTGTTAGTTTAAAAATTAGAGTGAATTGACCTTTTATACATTTTATAAGTAAGAGTATTATCTATTGAACCTCCTTAGGGTTTTTTCTTATATTTTAATTTTAAAGCAAGTTATGAGTATTTTAAAATTGTAAATTGTTTGGGATGTTTAAAATACTCATAACTTGCTTTAAAATTAAAATCTAAAAAAAAACCTATGAGGATCACTAGATAATAATCTTACTTTTAAATTTTATAAGACTTCAATTCACTCTAATTTTTTAAATAGCAGAGCTTAACGTGATTTGCTGAGAGTATAATTTGCTATGTTATGCGTTTATACTACGTATATAGCGCCCTCTTAATCTTAATTTGTTAGCATATAGGAATATTCCTATCAGTGGGCTACAATGAAGTCCTGCTCAACTACAGAACTGCTGCTCAGAACAGAGAATTAAGAAGAACATAGTTTTTGAAAGTACCATCATATTACATATGCAAAAACAAATATTTTTAAAAATAAAATCACTGTAAATTGCTTGTGATCTTAACTGAATTTGTTTTCCAGTAGTCATTTAATCGAAGAAGAAAACAAAATTTGACCCCGGTGTGGAAAAAGAAAGTTAATAAGATCTATTACCTGGTAGTACGAGCAATCACAAAGTCGGTTGGTGCAGAAATTTTTTCAGTGCAATTAAATCGAATAAAAAATAATAATATTATTTATTGACTCCAACAACTTCTTTAAACAGTTCTACAATTTGTAGAACCGATAACACTACAGAGCACTTATAAAATTAAACTTTACTTTGCTTAATTTAATCTGAGATTCTGAGGGCAGCACAGATATCAGGTGTATAAAACAACGTCAGGTAATAATATTATGTATTTATGTAGTAATCATGACTAAATAACTATTTATTTTATATCTTCATGGTAGTAATGTAGTACTTTTGTGACTAGCACAGATATATTATAATACTATAATAGTATTTATCTGTGGTACATATTATAGTATATTATATAATATAATATAATATATAAATATTAAATACTAGCCAAGTAGGTACCATGATACTACTACTACTACTACTACTATTGTCTATTTGTCTATTACTAATAATAATACTAGTCAAGCTGCTACTTGCTAGAGAATGGATATCCGACATCTGTCAATAAATAATTGTCATCTGTGGTATCACACTATCACTTCATATTATCATTATCATGCCAAATCATTATCAGTCCACCTTGATATTATTTTTTTTTGTTACGTGTGTGATATAAGCAACGAATTTCCGAATGAACCGCAACTACCATGATATTATATTTATAAAGGTAGTAGGTACTAGCTGGTAGTCAACTGTTTACGAGTCACGACTCACAATCGTTTGGATACGCTGTATTCCGCCATTTATTATCATTTTTATTTTGAAATTTTTGGTTGTAGTTATTATTTAGATTACCTACTCTAAGTTTTTAACTTATTTTGTGTTTAACTCGTCTCCAAATAATAATTTAATTGATTTTGAATTTTATTGTGCATTGGTGATCCGCAATACCTTGACGGCGTGACATTGTCTGTTGTGTACTTGTGTTTGTTTTAAAATTTTATAAGTGAGTGCCCTTTCATATTTATAAAATAAAATTTTAATGTATAATTTGTTTTATCATTCATTTAATAACGTTGTATTAGTATATTTTAATTAAATAATGAATATTTACAGGTATTTTAATGGTTTTATTGTGCAACAGTCAAAATGTTTGGATTGCCAAAAGATTTTAAATCAAAAAATATCATCGTGAAAATTGATAATAATATAAAACGCAGAACTTATGGCGATTCTTCTCCTCCTATGCCACGTAGAAAACGTCATAGCAGTGTTATAAAGTATGATGGTAGTTCAGATGAGCGAGGGTTGTCCGAATATGTACGTAGTAGTGCTAGAACGCCACAAAGTCCTAGAGTGTCTAGGTATTCAGAAATTGAACAATTTGACCGATCTAGGGATTTGGATCGATTGCATGCCACTTATAAAGTTTTGTGTGTGAGTGCTTTACATCCTAAAGCAAGTGACGAACAAGTTAAAAATACTTTGTATCGAGAATATCGCAAATTTGGTGAATTTTCTGTTAAAATATCACATGAACTAGATGAAAGAATGGCATATGTATGTTTTAAAAGCTCAGAAGATGCTAAAGATGCCAAACACAGTAAGCCTAGAGTACATTTGTTTGATAAAGTAGCTTTAGTTGCACCTGTATATGAAAGTCGTGGTTCTAGAGATCACCACGAATTAAGAGCTAGACGTTCACAATCCCGAAATTTTTCTCCAGATGTTGAAAGGTACTATCCTGTTCCTACAGAAGTTCATAGACCACATCAAATTGATAGGTTATATGAAAGGGTACCATATGGTGTTCTTCCATCCATGCGGCGGCCACGGGTTTTTCGAGAAATAGGTTTGCCACCATTACGTCCAAGTGAACTTCCAATATCTAGACAACAGTTATTGCACCATATGGCTCCTATTCATTCTCATTTAGGGCCAATTCATGCATTGTATGGCCCACCAAGACATCTTATGCTACCATTTAAACCATACCTTAATCCTCATTTGACGTATGACAAAAAAGATAAATTTCCCAACTATTTACACCATATTCCACCAGAAGACGACCCATTAGCTACACGTACATTGTTTGCTGGAAATTTAGAATTTTCTATTTCGGATGAAGAACTTCATTGTTTATTTGGTAAATATGGAGTTGTTGAGGATATAGATATTAAACGCCCATTGCCAGGGACAGGAAATGCATATGCATTTGTTCGTTATCAAAATTTAGATATGGCTCATAGAGCAAAAGTCGAATTATCTGGTCAATATTTAGGCAAATTTCAATGTAAAATTGGCTATGGAAAATCTATACCAACACAAAGAATATGGGTTGGTGGTTTGGGACCTTGGACATCACTTGCTCAGCTAGAACAGGAATTTGATAGATTTGGTGTTATTAAAAAAATTGATTTTGTCGAAGGTGACATTTGTGCTTATATTCAGTTTGAATGTATTGATGCTGCAACTGCAGCTGTCAACAAAATGAGAGGAGTGTCTTTAGGAGGTCCGGAACATAAACTTAGAACAGATTATGCTAAAAGTATTTGTGGCAGTCCTACATTAACTAGTTCAACAAAGTCATCCCAAAATGATGTTGCAGCAACTACAGGAGATTTACAAGAACTAACAAGACAAAATGAATATCCATTTGGTTGGGCAGAAGATGAGTATCCTTTGTATAGTTCTAAAATTGATCTTAAAGATCGTACAGAGTATAGTGAAGAAAGTAGAGAATTTGACAATCATGAGAATAGATCATTCAAGCAGCATTCTGTTTCTGATATTAGTTCTTCTCAATCACCACTTCACCAATCGATTGACAGTGATGTTGACTCAGAAGAAGGAGAAATACAATCTCTAAGTCCTTTGGATTCTGTTCGTACACTAGAACATTTGGCTTGTAAATGTTCTTATACATGGCAAGGCAGTCTTGTATTAAAAAGCTCTCAGTTCCCAACTAAATGCCATTTAACTTCCGGCGATACAAATGTCATAAAGTCAATGATGAACGATTTTGATGGTAAATCAATATTACGCATAACTCAACGATTGCGTTTAGATGAGACAAAGTTGGAAGATGTTTCTAAACATATAATGACTGCTGATAAACATGCCATATTTTTGGCAATGCCATTTTCTACCAACTCGATTTCCAACAATGATGCATTGGTACAAATTAGACCGTTACATAATTTAGTATCATATTTAAAACAAAAAGAGGCTGCCGGGGTAATATCATTACTAAGTGAAGATCCTGAAACAACTGGTGTAATTTATGTATTTCCTCCATGTGAGTATTCAGCTAAATTATTGAAACAAAGTGCAAAAAATTTAAGCAGTGAAGCATTAAATGATGATCATTTAGTTGTGGTAGTAGTTAATGGTAATATTTAATAATAAGAAATTTGTTTTTATGTACATTTACTTAATAATAATATATTCAGGCCATATCCAAATATTTTTTTTTATCAATTAGATTTAATAATTGGATAGAATTAATTATTATAAGTTTAATACAAGTTTATTACAATTAATTATAATCTTAATACAAGTTAATTACAATTAATTATAAGTTTAATACAAGTTTATTTAAAGTTTATTAGGTACAAACATGAACTAAGATAATCTTAGTTTATCTTAGTTTGTGGGTACAAGTGTTTTATTAGTATAATACTAGAATACCTTCATTTTAAGTTTAATATTTTTAATGACTATAAATAGATTTTTTTTTGTTACAATATTGATGTTTTTAATTTTAAAGCATATTATGTTCATTACAAAACAAATTACTATAGCTGATTAAAACTGTATAAGTTAGCTTGTGTTAGTTCAAGTTGACACACAGAGTTTAATTATGTATACAACATGTAGAATGCAATGTCTATTGTAGAAAAATTATTACAAGTTTAAAAATGTATATTAAAGTGATTCGATATTTTTCATTACTATTTAAAATAATGTATTATTTTATTATTAATTAGTGCAATAATATTTATAACAATCTTACATTTCGTTAAATTGTTTCTCTTATAACTTTTAAAATATATTGTAAATTATCAAGGAACACCATTACCTCTGATTGTTCAGTCATTATTTTTAATTGCTGTTACTATTTAAGTCAAAATAAATACTTAAGTTATTAATCAACTAATCTTGTTCATTATAGAAATTTTATAATTAAGTGTAACTTGCAATTGACCGTTATTGTTTTAAAAAATAATCTTAATCCATTGTGCATAAACCATGTATGACATAGTTGATAGTAATAGTAATATTATTTTTGCCAATTTAAATTAATTGTACAGTTACTTAAAATATAATATGAAGCATTGTTGTTTTTTTTAAAAAAATTTTTATTTATGGCGTTTATTTTATTTCAGGTATATCAACGTGTTAAGTGTTTAAGAGAGTTTGGGGATTTTTTTTATGATAATATGTGTAAACAATAATAAAATCCAAATTGTTTTTTGAAAAAAAAATAACTTTAAAAATTCCAATATTTTATTTTTCATAAATTTTTCAAATATTTTAGAAATAGACAAAGTTAGTGATAATTAAGTTAGGCCATAATTATCGCAATAAGTAGGATCCCTGACTTAAATAATGGGTGAATTACACATTTTTTAAAGTTAGAAGTGAATGATCCTAAGCTATTGTCAAGTTGAAAAGAAAAGCTAAAGGAACAGATATAAATGTTGAGACTTTTAATAAAATATAATTTGTTAATCTCGATTTAAAACATGTGGAGTGAATTTTCATTTCTAAGATAGACACTGGTCTTATACAAATTGAATCTGTTATGTCACAGTTATTATTAAGATTTCTAAATTATTTATAATTATTACCGTCCAGTTGATCTAATATTTTTTTAATAACACCCACATTTTTAAAAAATATTAAATGTATTACTGGCAGGTAACCAGTCTTATCATGTATTTCATATAATCTGATGTATTTATTTCGTTTTCTACCAGTAACTTCTTTAATTATTTTCCACAGTTGTTTAGAATCTTTGTTGGCTTTAGTAAGTTATTTTACCACGATAAAACAAGAGCACTTTTTAGTAATTGATTTAATATATTTCTATAACTACCTAATAAGTTTATTTTATTTTAAAATCTCTATCAAAATGTCTATTTTTTAGCTTATTGGTAATTTTATTTATATTTCTAACTGAAACAATTAAACCTTGAGTAATCCAATTTTAATTTTTTAGCATTACATATCGTATACCTAACTACTAAAATGTTCTGCAATTATTAAAATATATATGTTCATATTAATATATTATGAATCAAACAAAACAAAAATATGCAAATATTATTAAGAAATAAGTACCTATATAATTGCTTATTGGAACAATTTAAAAAAAAAAATAGAAAATATTTTAACTGTACAAAACTTGTTCTACATCCAAAATATTCTTGGATTAAATTGTTGTTCACAAAATTTAAAAATCAATGTTAATATAATAATTACCTATTTAAGTTATGGTGTAGGTTATTAATACCTAGGTACACATAATGTCGATTTGTGGCGTATATAGGGGGGAGGCCCCCTAGGCTAGGGCCCATAGTGAAATTGCAGGTTCAATTAAAGCATTGCATGTATATCTGCATTGTTTACAGTTTTTCACCATGATTAAGTTAGCCGGTTGATTAAAATCGTTTTTGAGGAATCAACAAGGAAATGTTAGATGGTCAGGACTTGCTTTGATAACTTATAATTGACTTTGATGTTAAATGCATAGTAAGATAACATTAAAAATTAAAATATATAAATGACACTATCAATATTTTTTAAAAAAGAATCAAAAAATTAATTTTACATAATAATTAAATTGCGTAATTTTTATTTGTACTGTTTATGTCATAATCATAACCACCCAGCTCCCTAAAAAATGTATAGTTATGGCTATGTTGGTTGTGCTATTCTTGACTAGTGATAACTGATAAATTGGCCCATAGGGAAAATAATTCGTATATACGCCACTGTCCCTTATAGGTACTTATAAAAAAATAATGCATTTCGAAAATTAAATACCTACTATTATATGATGATGACTAACCATGCATATTTAAATTAAACCTTATAGTATAGGTGGGTCAGCTTCAAGCATTGATCATTTTAGTACATAGGATTAACATGACTGACAATAAGATTTTAATAATTTTAAACATGATTGGCACCATAATATGAATATCATTGAATACTTAATGTAGGGGAGAGTGGGGCAGATTTGAATGCGGGGTACATTTGAATTTGTCTAATATAATTTGTTACAGATTATTTACATTCATAAAAATAATAATCTAAGTTGGTGACAATATTTTGTATACCATATGTGATTATCAAGCATTTTTGAATAATTTTGTGATAAATAAAAATGATAATGTGATTTTCCGGCTTTTTAAAAAAAAAAATAGGTGTTTCCATAAGAACATTTTGGAAACTAAAATTCAAAATAATAAGTTTAGAATTAAATATACCTATTCAAAATATTGTTGCCTAGTAATACATTTAATGTACATACATTATTTATAATTATTAAAATTTATATTATGATTATTATTGATTATTTTGGCATGGGGTAGATTTGAATCATCATCAATAGGGTAGATAATAGAGTGTAATAAAGGTTCCTCCTTTTTGAAATATCTATCTTATGGATGGAATATACTAGTTAACTGGATTTATGTCACAAGATGTGGATTTATCTATAAGAAAACCCAAAAATACTACATTTTCACAATAAAAAAAAAATTGACAAGAAAACATCTAAACATAATTGTAAAAAATTGTTATTATATTATATTGAGCTATTTTTATTATTAAAATAAAAAAAAAAGTTTAATTTAATTTAATATTTAACATTCAAATGTGGCTTTTAAGACACATATTCAAATCTACCCCCTGCACGTTCAAATGTACCCCATGGGTGGGGTACATTTGAATAAAAATATACTTCACTTCATAATTAGAAATTAAATTGGTTATTTAATATATAAGGTTGTTATAAGTCAAATAGTATTCACAACTATCTAGACTACAGATTGTAATTATCAAATATAAAATTTGTCAAAAAATTAAAAATTAAAAAAATAAAATGTAAATTTCATTCAAATCTGCCCCACTCTCCCCTACTAATATATACCTACAATGTAGTATTGTAGTCACATTCATAGTTGTTAGTTGTATATAAATTGTTTACAAACTAATCTTAATTTAATACTAGGCAATTTTTTTTTTCAGAATAATGCCATAATATCTATAGGTACAAAAACTGTTATTATCTTTGAGATTTTATGTCATGGGGGGATCTTGTTTAATTTGTACTGGATATTTTGTAGGGGTAAGTAAATTTACTGCATGTATAACTGTATACCTAAGTGTGGGTAATGTAATACAAATGTGGCCTTAACAAAACTTTGCTCTTCAATGATTTAGAATACCCAAAATGAATAATGAAATTAAAGAACTGCAAAAACAATTTTAAGGTGTACCTACCCAAATGTTTGTTGGTTATTAGGGTTTATTGACTGTACCTACCTAAATTGTACTCATATTAAAATAAAAAAATTCAGTGTCATGCTGATTGATGAATACAGCCACTAATTTTCGAAACAAATCTTACTACACATTTTATTTACAAATGTACAAAATTAAAATTTTTTTTTTTCATAAATGTCATTAAAATTGTATTCGTTGGTTCAAAAAGCATGACAATTTAATATAAGGCTCCTGATATATTGTTACAATATAAGTTGAAAAATATTAAAAATACTTAGGCATAATTTTTTTATTAGCATTTAAAGTTCAATTTTTGACAACATTTATCAAATTTATAATTTAAAAATGATTTTTTAGTTAATATAGTTAATACCATGCCTCCGTGCCGGTTGTAAATGATAATACCAACAAGTTCAATTAGCTAATACATACTATTTAAAGTAGTCTGTCCTCCAAATTCAGATTTCCCCATCGTTTTCAGCATGATTAACTACATAGGTACCTACGTTTAAACAAAACAAATTGAAAAGAAAACTAGAAAAGTTCCAATATTACAGCGTTGTACGAATGCGTACAACACCGAAAATCGTGAACTTTGTAATGCTAGGTATAACTTAAAAACTAATGATTTCCGGCAATTAATTTTTGCAACGTCGTCTATGCCCGTCAAATAGTCGATAATTCTAGTTCACCTATATGGAATCGATTTTATATTCTCTTCCTAAATAATTATAAGCAAATGAGCTTATTATCTATGTGGTGTTATTTTTAAAACATTCCAGATTTTTCCTGAAAGTTTTGATTTATCTATCAAAATAAAGTTTTTTTTACTTACGAGTTATTTCTATCTTGAGGTTAGTAAGCGGTTAACTACAATATAAGTATATACAATAATACTATATATTATATACTACATATATAATAATATAATATACTATTTAATAATCAATAAATACAAACACTCTTAACCTTAATAAAATTCCAGTAGGTATAAATTAAAAAATTATTTTTTCGGGAAATCATGGTTCTCGTTGTCATGGTATAAACATATTATGTATCTGTGGCAAAACGTATTGTGATCATAAAATATAAAAATGTGTACATTAGACGTGTCATCTATGCTGTTTTCGATTATATTTTTTTTCGTTAGACAAATGTGTATTATTATATTTTTATCGTCGGGGTTAATATAATATTCAATATTGCAGTGTTATCGTTATTAGGTACGTTGCAGCTTGCACTATATTTGGTATACTTAATAATATATCGATCGACGATCTTCGTCGTAGATATGAAGACGAATGCTCTGCAGTGCGCCGCGAGGTGTTTCGTCGTCAAAAACCAATTTAATTATATGGTTACTGTCATCTTGGCCTTGATGGCCCTGGGATACCTGATAGGTCGCTATTCTAGTAGCGCAGCTAAGACCTATTCCGGCACCGAACTGGCTGCGTCCACCAACGCAGAAATGTCCGTCGAAGTTTGGCAAAGGATCCAATCGAAAATCGAAGAGATTGCTGGTGAGCTCCAAGACCTGCAGGCGTACATGGGCTGACAGAAATTTCATGTGCCAAACACCACGAAACATTAGTTAACGGACGACGTATGTTGGGTGTATTTTGATTTGTTGCAAATATAATATACAATATAAACTAAAGGTGTAGAAAAAAATGACTTGAGTTTTTAATTTTGGTTGCATTTAAAAAGTGTGCAGGAATTAAGATTTCGATTCAAGAAAGGTCGATAGACTAAAGTACAATACCACACACTTTATTTTATTGATTCGTTGTACAACAAAATATATAGCGCACACTATTTTAATAATCTATACAGACTAGGTGTACTATGAACTTCGATAATCTTTTACAAAGTTTACCAAAAAGTTTGAAAAAAGCACTACATTTTATTTTACTTTGGGATATTCTCACAACCCAAAATTAAAAAAGGTGCTCTGCTGTATAGACGTATAGTAGGTTACAAGTGAGTCACTGTACAATGGACGGTATTAAATTTGAATTTAATGATATAATATCATTGTATGAGAAAAACGATTCTGAGCGGGGACGGTATGTCAGTCTATGTATAAGACATATTATATTATACTTATCTATGGTATTAAAAAAATGACCTATAATAGGTACTTATAATAAATTCCAAATTAATCATATCACAATATCCCTTAGGTACTTATAACGCGTTATACATCAACAACAAACCCTGATACTATCATAGATATATAATAGTGTACTTTAGAAGTTTCAAGTACCCATGAATAATATTATACAATCACAACGAACTTAAAATGACTATAAAAATAAACTGTGCTAATGTATTTTTAGATTTTTTGGTAACAAAATTAACTACTACCTAACGTGGAATCTTGTTTTAAATTTTCAATCCTTATAAAAAGATATAAAAGTTGAACATTTTATAAATTTTTAACTACATAAATATTCAATTTTTAAATTTGATCTTTATATGCTTATAAAAAAAAAATGTGCCTATGTAGGTATTTTTAATCTTTTTATAAACTGATATTATATTTATATATAAGGTTAGGTCTGCTTAGCCTTGTATTAAATTTTTACACTTTTTGGAAAACAGATTAAACTTTATTGATATTTAAAGAAAAAAAAACTAAAAAAATTGAAAACTGAAAATGTCCGTAAACAGCTCAAAAAGAGTCAAAATATTTACAAAATTGTATAGTAGTATCTAAGGTCATTTGTTTTAGAGTTACACAAAAAACCAAAATCGATTTTCTCGAAAACAGATTTTGAGTAAAAATTCCCGTTTTTAATTAATTTTTCTTTTGTTTTTCTCAGTGCGTTTGAAAACTTGTGGAAAACTTTATGACTATAAACTTTTATTTTTGACCCCCCCAAGTACTAACTAGATTCACTTTCCTATCAGAAAAGATACTGTTGAAGAAAATCCAAGCACTTTTACTGTCATAAGAGGTGATGACAGACATAAAAAAAAAAAAAAAAACTTCATTATAAAATCAATACATTCATCGTTTCACTCAGAATCTGAAAGGAATTATGTTTACAAAGAAGTTAAAATTGTAATTGTAACATACTAACATGTAAAATAAATATTGAATATTTTATGATGTAATTATTGTAATGAGTATTTAGGTGGCGACCGACGGTAATTTATTTTATATTTTTTATTTAAATTAACATAAATAATTAATAAAACATTATACGTTATCAAGTGCCTAATTATAAATTCATTATAATATATAGTATGTTGTTTTTGGATATAACAACTTTAAAAAAGTGTGTGGTATTTTTATGTGTATTTTTATGTATTGACGTCTAGTGATTGGTTTTTATTTTGACATGGTAAAATGTTCGTCACATGTTTGTATACCAGTGATATTATTTGATTTCTTGGTTATGTCATTAATCTTGAGTTATATATTATGTATTATGTATATCGTGATAACCTATCCTTATAACGGACCTCCTATAAGATGGAAATCAGACATGGATAAGTTAAACAGAAAATAAAACAGAATCCCGTATAACTTATATCTCGCATATTTTAGTTTTTCTGTAGGTACAAACTATAACTACTGAAACTCAACAGAAAAATCAGTTATAACTGTTATAAGGCTCGATTAAATGGAGGTTTTACTGTAGGTAGGTACATTGTATCTATTGATGGCCCTCTAAAAACTTCATGAATTCCTAATTCGTATGACCCTGTAGTCGAATTCCTGTATACCGTATATTATAATACCGAACCTCGTGTCCTCGTCGTGTAGTGCTCACTTATACCGGCGTCCGGCTATACCTATATTATATAGATACGTTTTATGAGCTTTAAATATTCAATTCTCGAATGTTCGACGGACGACGCCAATGACTATCTGCCATGTGTATTGGGTTTTCTTCGGTACCTATATGGTATATGTGCCTATTATCGATATAAAAAACAACATTAATTTTGTAACGTTATATACGTGAGATTCGTTATCGTTTATTGGAATAATAATTATGATGGCCTCCTCGGTGACCTCCATACATAGGCGTGCGCACGGGGTGTTCCGGGTGTGCCTGGGCACCCCCTGACATTTAATTGGGGCCCTAAAATATTTAATATTTATTTGATGTTTAGCATTGTACAAGTTGTTCATATGAACAGGTAGTTATATTTGAAATTAAATATTGTGAAAAGTAAATTCAGAAGTATCATGACCCAATACTGTTTGGAATCATTAATTTTACTTTTTACGGAACAAGAAATGGCCTCTAATGTTGAAGTAGATTTAGTTATTACTTATTAATGAGTTTAATAATTTAAGTAATAGACGCATATTATTATAAATCTATAACTGTTGTATTAGAATGTTAAATAAACATGTAACTAAGTAAGTAATATTTATTTGTACAATATAATTTACTAAAATATGTATTATGTACAATGTACATGTCTAATTAAGAGAGGGCCCAAGTTAAGGAAAGGGCCCAAAAATATTGTGGGAAACTAGGAACCCCCCGAAATCCAGGTCTGCGCACGCCTATGCCTCCATACCAATAATAGTCAACACCATTATGAAGTATACGCGTTTTATAATAATATAATCTTTGCCAAGTTCAAGAGGAATATGATATTATTTTTATTGCGAATGTCGTTTTGCTCCTGCGAAGGTTCCAATATCGACCTATGTCCGTATATTATTTTTGTGTTTATTAAAAACAACTATGCCTTGATACTGCAGTAAGAGGTTTACCGCATTACCGGAAATCGGTTTTGATACTTAGTTTTTACAAATCAATATTACAGTGGTGTTGTTAGAGTGTAAGTTATTACTTTCGTTGTTCTATCGCCTTTCAGTAATAATTCGTCATTGTTGTTTATTATTTACCTATATCGGCTATATCTACTTGAGATAGGTAACCACATCACGCGTGATGACCAAACTATAATTTGTAATAATATTTAATATTTAATTATTATAATATAGTTTCTATGCCGGCATCTACAGGGAACGCTGGTCCTCCAAAAACATTGACATATAATATTAATATTTTGTTCTATTATCGTGTGATAACCGATATCTAGAATTTAACAATATTATTAAGGTAAACAATTATTTATATTATTATACCTATACAATATACATAATATATTAAACACGTCTTACTATTATATAAGTACACGAATGTATGCGGTGTGCGTACGTAATACGTAAATATGTTTTCAAATGTCGGCCTAATGTAACCTAACGTATACTCAACACAGATGGGCGCTCACGAATTGCCTCCCATCTCACCATCGAATTGCCTCCCGTGAATTTTTTTTTTCAAAAAGTTACCCGAATCGCCTCCAGATTTCAAAAATATTATTTACTCGAATTTCCTCCTGAGAGTTTCACTAACCTACCCTTGTACTGGAATCGCATATAATTAATCGATTTATAAAAAAATTATGAAATAGATGAAATATCATTCTGTTATACAGTCAAAAACTTAAGTTTTTATAAAATAAATAATAATTAATAATACCTATATATAATATTATAACATAATATAATAATTTATTAATAATATTAAAAATAATAATGACGAAATATCATTCTGTTATACTGTCAAAAACTTAAGTTTGTATAAAATAAATGTTTTTTTTAAATAGACTGACACAGCAGTAATAATTAATAATATTAAAAATAATAATGACGAAATCTTAAGCTTGTATAAAATAAATGTTATAGGTACTGATAATCACTAATTGTGGATAAGCTTATTGCATTTGAAAAATTAATTTGTCTGGGAAATACTGCCTTAAACATTTAATTTTTGAACATTACGGAATAATATAATAATTGATAGTAGGTACACGTACAACTATCGATATATTAGTTAATAATACAGGTAAGTTATGGGAGGCAATTCGAGTAACCTAACCATTTGTGTATACTCGAATTGCCTCCGAAAACACCCCCGAAGGCAATTCGAGTAAAAAAGTTCTCCTACCAAAATTTGGGAGGCAATTCGAGTGTCACCACACAGATAGGTATTTAAAAATGGGAGTGGTTATATAAAAAAATATATGTTTATGTAAACTGTATAATATACAGATGTCCCAGACTCCAGAGGATTTACCCAGTAATATATCTCTTGAGATAATGCATTTATCATAAATAGGTTTTTTTTATTAGAATCACAGAAATAAGGATAACTTATATTGTATTTTTTAATATAATTCAATTTTTTGGTAAAAAAGTTAAAATATTAATTTTTCCTTTTTTTCATTTTTTGAAACAATTGAAGATACTGAGATCCATTTTATAGAGTTTAATTTTCTGAAAATGTTGACCTTTCAACATTTTAATTTCATTAATCTCAGGATTTTAATATTTTTTTACTTTATAGGTAAAACTAAAACAGCAAAAACATGTTTTTGTCTGGGTCGCCACCCCGTTACGGCCAGTGGGTATATCTTCACGGGACACTAAACAATCAGTACTCATTAAGCATAACTCTAAACAAGCATCTCAACTTCCTTAATACTTAAAGATTGTAACCAAAAAAAATGAAATGA